GAATGGACACCTGGATCCATTGGCGCAGTGGCCAGCGGCGAAGAAGCGGCAGGGTGTGTCGATCTGGGCTGCCCCGCTGCCACACTCGTGCGAGAACGGGCATGCGCTACCCTTGGAGCACGAGCCGACCTGGAAGAAGCGGCAAGGCGGCGCCGGGCGGGACGAAGTCGGCCTTGCTGCTGCCACCGTGGCGATTCCGCGCTGCTCGCGCCGACGGTTCCGTGCTGGCTGCCACTCCTCCGCCTGCATTATCCGCACAAGCGAGGTAGGCGCTGAGCACAGGGAGCGAGAGCGCCTCAGTAAGACAGCACGCGGCACGGTGTTTTTCTTTTTTGACCGGTGCTTGCGACTCTTTAAGGCAAGAAATTGTTGGAGTACCAGGCCGCTTGAACTATCAGATGACCGCTCTCTTTGAGCACCTCGGGACGCGTCAGACCTCGCGCTCGTGCGACACCGGAGCGCCGATCTCCAGCAGCGTGGCCTGGTGAAGCGACGCGCACGTTGAATCTTCCCTGCTTGAATCTTCCCTGCTTCAAGCACTGCTTGTTCCTTGCGCCTTCCCCCGGGAAGGACGCGAACTCGGGCTCTTTTTTTCTTTTAGCACACCGCCGGCTAGAGTGTAGAGAAAAAAATGACTGCGGTGTTCGCGCCAAGGGCGGAGCGTCGAGGACGAGGTGCCAGAATTCATGCCTTTCTTTTAGCCAGCAAAATTGAGGGGGGATGTGAAAATCAGCCACGGGTGGGAGGTACAGAGGAATCGCGCCTCGCAAGCGGCGCTAAGCAGACATGGGGGTTCGCGAGAAGAGGAGGCTACCAAGGCAAGGAGTGAGGAGAGAGGGGCGCAGCTCGGCGGCTGGCGGCCGCCCGACCCGTAAGGCCCCTCGCTAGACCGGGACGTCGTCCGGAGAGCTTTGCTCGCGTGCGGGGCGGCGCTTGCCCTCTGATCCGGGGAGGGTGGCGGTGCGCAGCGGCGGCGGCCCCTCGTCGGCGGCCGCCATGGGAAGCTCCACGCCGCCACCGCCCTCCCCGCCACCGCCGTCGTTGCGCAGGATCATCGGCCCGCCGAGCTCCTCGGCGGCGGCGGAGCGCAGGTGCAGTCTGGAGGGCGGGAGCGGTCTGCACAAGACGTGCCTGCAGTTGGCCGGGCAGGACTGGTCGAACGGGTTGGCTCTGTCCGCGAAGGTGCCCTTGATCTCCTCCGACGTCGTCGCGTTGCGGCACGTCAGCGAGCAGTGGTAGCACAGCAGCGGGCACACGCAGAGCAGGATGAGCGCCGTCGCGATGGAGAGGGCGGCAGGCACTGGCCGCTCGTCGAGCGCGACGCCGACGCGGTCGCCGCCGCTCGTCGCGTCGGTGAGCGCCGCCGCGAGCGCGTGCAGGAAGGAGAGTGCCGACACGACCAGCGTGTACGCGCAGAGGCTGCAGACGGACAGCACAAAGCCGAAGAAGTATCGGTAGTTGCGGAGCCCCACGCACTGGCCGGTCCAGGGGCAGTGGTGGTCGAAGCGCTCGACGCAGACGTTGCACTCGGTGCAGTGGGACGCGCGCGGCGGCCTCCAGATGCGGCACGTCGAGCACCACTTGAGCGGCATCGTCACGCCACGCACCTGTGGGGAGGTTCCGAGAAGCTTCCGAGAGGTGCAGCGAGAGCGCAGGCAGGGCGCGTGGCCGACCCGTCCGCGCCTCCACAAACCTCTCCGCGGACGCGTTGGCGAGCGACTCGGCGTCGTCGACGTAGGGCGCACGCGGCAGGATGCCCGGGTCCGCGGTTGCGGTCGCCACGAGCAGCGTCAGCGTCAGCGCATACAGCAGCATCCCGACGCTCGTCACGAGCGGCGCGCCCGCCAGCGTCGGGCAGACAAAGATCCAAAAGGCGACGCTGAGCACGGTCGTCAGCGCGACAGCAAAGCAGGTGACGCCCCAGTCCGGTCCAACCATGACGCGGCCGTCGCAGAGAAAGACGTGCCGGCCGCCCCAGGTCTGCCAGCCTTTGAGGCTCGGCTGCGAGGCCATGGACGCCGTCACCGGCTCTCCGTGCATGCAATGTCCTGCAGCGGCGGCAGTGGCGGCGGCGGGGAAGGATGTGTGAGGTGGTAGGTGAGGTGTGTCTTCGGAGCGTGCGTGTGTGTGCGGCAGCGGCGGCGGCCGGCCTGCTCTCCTGCGAACGGCTTCCCCACCGTTCACGACTAACGACGGGCTAGTAAAGACGATGTCTCACTTTCGAAAGTCCAAAACTGCTCGAGTGATCCTCAAATCCCTCACTAGGCACGGGACTGCGACTGGCGCGCACTGTCCACTGACTGGCACTAACACAAAGCTGAGGGAGGGTGTAGAGGATGTAGACGTGAGGAAGGCATCGCACGCCGCACTCTGTAGTCCCCACAGACGCTGTCGTAGGATCGCTTGTCCATGTGAGAGAGTGCGCGTTGTGTTCTCGTTTTGTTTTCTCTCCGCCTTTTCTCCTCTTCCTGAGACTCACGTCATGTGTTGGGTATGGGTTCCGGATGTTTTTTGCAATCCGGATATCGTGTATTGGAGACGAACACGATACACGTCCGTCTCCAAGTCCAATGGCGCACGATAAATCTGAAATCCAATAAGGTGCTTCACACACGCATCGCATCGCTCCATCACATCTGAATATTGATGGAAGTAGAGCTCACGCGTTGCGCTGGACGCCACCCGGGGCCACAAAGACAAGGCGGCGCGCCTTTGGGTCGAGCAGCTCTGCATTGGTCGAGGTGCCTGCGGGCATTCACGGGCCGGCCTCAGAGGGGGTTTGGCACGCGAGGCGGCCCGGCAGACGGTGGCGGGCGTGTGCATAGGAGCCGGAGCGGCGGCAGCTGCGCCGGGCCAGACAGGATGGGGACGAGGTTGAACTTTGCGGTGTGCCCAAAGCCGGGCGGCAGCTGGAACTGCTGCAGCTTGAAGCCGCTAAAGAGGAAGGCCTCGTTCTCCGAAAAGGATAGGCGGAACGTGTGCAGCGCGTCCGTGCGGTTGGTGATCGACAGCTGGAGCTGCAGGAGCGCGCCGAGCCGCCCCTCACTCGGCACCGTCAGCGCCAGATCAAACTCGACCGGCTCCACCGCCACCGCCGGAAGCGCCGCCTCGGTGCTGGACGCCGGCGGCGCAAACGGCAGCGCCTCGCGCGGAGGCAGCGGCAAGGCGGCGGCGGCGGGCGAGGCGAGACGCGCAGAACGCTCCGGCGCCAGAGCGGCCGCCGGCTCCGTCCCCGACCCCTCCGCCCCTCCGTCGGTGGACGGCTCGGCGCCGGGTTCGAGCGGGGCGCGCGA